TATTTTCTTGAACTGGAGCCACTGCAAGTGAAGGAATTATTGTTACAAAAAAATGTAAACAAGGGAGGCTGCACATTCCTGCAAACATGCAGCATAAAAGCACCCTTGCTCCTAAGGAAAAAAAAAAAAGGGGTATTTTCCCCAAAAAGGCTCATATTTACTCCATTAGGCTCTTTTACTCCCCGAGATGTCTCAACCTGGGAGAGACCTCCTGCTGAAGATAAGCCAGTTTGAGCTTACAGGGCAACGCACTCTGCCCAAACTGTTTTTCTGCTGAAAATATTCCAATAGAGGGCAAAAAAACCCCATTATATTGTAACATTATATAAGCAATATATTTACATGGACACCTCAGCAGTGTTGGCCACAAGAATGTTGGTCTTAGACGCAGCTTGCCTAGGGACCCGCACGATGCAAACCTTACTCTGCAAAGGGAATCCCAGAAGAGGGTGATTTTAACCCGTTCTGTGGTTGCTCATGTGCCAGAAGAGAGGTGCCAGCCCAGGACAAGGACAAGACTCTCAGGAATGTCACATCCCACACAGCCTTTCCTCGACAGCCTCTCGCTGGGGCTCAGGAATCACAGGAGTTTCCCTTGGTCTTGCTCAAGGAGCTGCTGCCTGGGAAAGCAGGGATTGCTGGCTGAGGCCGTAACCCCAGGGATGAGATTTCTCTGGAAAATGTTCCGCAAGCCTCATATTACCCATTAGCTCATAGCAATTTTGAGCACGGGCAGGCTGGCCTGGATTTGAACCAATAATGGCAAAAATACTCGTATGTTACAGTCAGGTCCTTAATTACCCCCAGCAAGGTCCGCTTCGGGCTCAGACCAAGCACTGATACCAGCCACGTGTGGCCAGCAGCTGCTGAGCTAGCCAGCCACCTTCACCAGCCCTTGACTAGCAGATTGTGGCCTCATCCAAAACTGCATGGATTCAGCTCAAAATTGCTAGCTGATATCTTCTCCATCTCACTGCATGCCATGCAGAAATAAAAGAGAAAAACCCTAGTAAGGCTTTTTTTGTGCTGGTGTAAGTTGTTGTCTCAGGACCTTCCCAACAGCTAAAAATGTGAGCCACCAATGTGGCTTGCTATTCTGGGGGCAAGTGTCCCAGAGAGACCCAGCTTCTCTCCTGCAGCTGCAGTTCTCAGATAGGAGCGTTGTCTCCATCACTTGGCCTGGTCTCTATGGAGCTCCTCAACCAGAACTTCCCTAGGAGATTTATGTTTGCCCTCAGTACCAGGGACTTCCTTCTTCCTTTAACTTCCACATTTAGTTACATTTAAAAAAAAATCTCTTTAAAAAATGACACAGAATTTTATGTTCTCACAATCTCAGCACTCCTTATTTCCTCATCTTTCAACTGCTCTTCTCCCTCTCACTTCCTCCCTTCACACCCTCGAGTCTGTAGCAATCCCTCCTCTCTCCACCATTGCCTTCCCCATTCCATTCAGCACATAGAGAATAAGGCAAGGGGACATGTAAATCCCTGCTAATGCTGAATGGAGCAAAACAGCTCTAAAAAATGCAGAATCAAACCAAGAAACACAGAGTCTTCTGATCAAATAGAATCAGCCATTGTCTTTAATCTCAGCCATCTAAGTGCTCCCTAACCACAGTGGGAGGAGAAATAAGGTCCCTTTGACCAGGGGAAATGGGGGAATTAGGTCATCACCAGAGTTTCCACCAACAGTTGAACCATGGTCTAGAGAACACCAAAGGGCTGGTGGGGCTCCCAAACATAGAGCTCATGGGAAAGAGCCCTGGGATGGCTTCTCAGCCCCCGACATCCTCATAGCTCTTCTCAGGATGTGGGATCCCAGGAAAATTACAGAGGAAACACAATGGGGAAATTATTCCTGCATTTCTGCTGCCAAAGACTCTGCTGCTCTATAGCTCCAGCAGCTCAGAGTGGCCTGTGCGGTGGGATGAATAAGGAAAGGAGCACTACAGAAGAAGAGAACCAGAAAGGATAAAAACTGGGAGTACAAAAAGAGAATTAGCTTGAAAAGATAATCCCAGTGGGGAAGGATAATCCCTGGAGCCCACAGGCCACAGAAAGATCTAGGCACCTACCAGCTGCCATAGAAGTCTGAAGCCAGGAGGGAGATCTTCAGGCCATGTAATGTAAATCCTGTTGGGATTCATAAGCTTGGTGTCACCCCTGAAAGCAAGCCTAGCAAAGCCAGACCAAGCAGGAAACAAGAAGCAAAGTATTGCTTTCTTGCCTCTCTGTTTCCCCATGAAACATGCCTTAGGAAATCAGGGCTACATTCCCAGGAGGGGACTAAAACTGATAATTCTACTCCTGGAGGAATCCTTGTAATCACAAATTCACAGTTACACTTTTAAGCAAAGTTTCCCTCTTCCTACCTACAGAAGTAGTTCTATTTCTTGCAAGGAAACACTTAATAGGCCAGTGGGTCAGACAGCAAGAGAGTAGCGATGAGGAACACTCACCAAACACAGGGCAGTACCTTCTAGCAGCTCAACCAGTAAAGGATTTACATTTTTTTTCCTCGAAGCATCTGCCCTTGCTATTGTATGTGCTATTAGGCTGGCTCAGCAGTGTTTTTCTCTCTCTCAGGTGGAGTAAATAGTTAATTATTCTAATTGCAAGAAGCTGAGCATCTCCCAGGAGCCAGTCTCCTGGTGTGATACCTCTCTCCAGTGGGCTGCTGTGAATAGATGACTAAAAGGATTCCCCATTCGGTCTGACCTTAACTAACAATGAGAACTACATCATGCTAGAGGAATAAAAAGATGAGATGGGAGGTTGGGGAGGGGAAGTGAAAGAAGAGTCTGATTGTTTTTCACAGTGTGAGGCAGATGGTTCACACAGGAGATTACAATTTGGACTTTTAATGGAGGAAAAAAAAATACCTATCCTCATCTTTCTCAGCCAGGGCAACCAAAACAACTGTTATTTTTTGTATTCTACGCTTGATATCTTTCCCTTTATTTTATTTTTCTGCTTTTTTGACTGGTAATCATTGTTTTTATCCAGGGCATATAACTGGCTGGAGAATTAATCTAAAGCTTTTAGGATAATGCAGAAATGTTCGTGGCATCCTGAGGTGCTAGAGGCAGCAGCACCTCCTCCCCAGGCCAGCCCGTGGTGGCCACTGTCTCCCTTTGGGCAACCTGCTTTGGTACCGAAGTGGCCTCTGGATGCAGTTCTCTGCTGATGTGGCTCCACTGAAGACAGCAGCACGTACACCCGTGGAACCAGCTAGTTTCTGGCACTGTCCCCTGTTGAAATTTTGTGCAAGGATAGTAAAACAAACAAAAAGAAAAAGCAAAAAGGCCTTCATCAAGTGATTCACTTTTCTGCTTCTTTGGATGATGCTCCTTCATCCAGCTTTTTGCTCACCCATCTTTCGAGCATTGATCTAAAGAAAACAGACCTGTTGCTGTGTTTTGCACATTTAATTCATGTTCTGCTCATGCTAGCAAAGAGGAATAGCCCACCACCCACCTAGGCAAGGACAATCTTTTCTACTCTTCCAGCTTTGGCCACCAAAAGTGCAATGGCCCTGAACTGCAGCCAGCTTGGAACCTGCCCAAGACCAAGTCTTCAGGCATGGAAACACTGGAGTGAAACTTCTGCCTTGTGAGGTGGAGAGAATCTAGGTCAAGCTTTCTAATCAACTGTGTGACCCTTTTTCTTTCCCAGCCTGAACACTGGGGAGAATGTGGAGGTGGCAGGAAGCCAATGGGAAAAGGGAGCCAAGGGGACCCAAATGCACCTGGTGACCAGCACGGAAGAAAGTGCTGTGCATACCTCCTCCCTCAAGCAACTTCAGCATTACAATCCCATTAAGCTTTCCATGAGAACAGCACTCATCCTGCTTCCCATCTCATTGCCTTTGCAGCCCCATAGATTGGGAAAGCACAGGTTTGGAAAGGAGAAATAATTCTTCACCCCACTCCAGAGGAAGCCCATAAGGACTGATCTGGCCCAAGATGAGCTCTTCTTTGTCAGGTATTTTAAATCACTCAAATGCCATCAAGAGAGTAAAGAAAAACAAGCATTACCATCACTTGTCATATTTATATTTTTGATTTTATTTTTAAGTTTTATTAAAAAAAAATTATTACAAATGAATCATTTACTGGAAGGCTTCTGCCAGGGAGAACTTTCATTTTCATCTCATTGTGAAAAAAATGCAGCACAGATAAAACCCATAGGCATAAACAAAACCAAAAAAAAAAAACCAGTTAAAACAGTTAAAACTGTAGCTTATAATCATGCAGTTTCCTCAATGTCAACAGGAGGCTTTAAAAAGAAAAAAAAAGCCTCTCAATTCAGAATTTCATGGGAGACTTAAAACAGAGGGGAAGGAAACATGCTGGTAAAGAAAAAAAAAAAAAAAGAAACCAGAAAAGAAGAAGAATTGCTTGGCTAATGGCTAGTGAATTGAACAAATTTACCTCCTCCAGAGCAATCCCAATTTGCCTAGCTGTGCAGTTGGCCACTGGGTGATGTATATACTGTGAAATGCTGAAAAGATTGAATTCCTGCCACGTCATTCTGGCAAAAATTTCCCAGTGTTAGCACTCATTTGGAGGAGATTTTCACTGAGATTATACCCAGCTTCCCATTTCAGGAACCTGGAATTTGCAGTACCATTTGGTGCCTGGAGAAGGATCTTTAATTCAAAGTCTCCTTAACTGAGACAACTTCATGGAAAGCTCTAAGTGTCTTTTTATGCATTTTTGAATCAAGGCTGAATTAAGCACCTGCCCTGGTACCATGGGTAGCAAGCCCAAAACTGGGTATGCCAAAAGCTGCAAATTAATGACTATTTCGTACAAAAACAAAACACAATATCCTTAGTGTGAAAACTTGCAAGTCAAAAACAAATAAAAATGGTCTTAAAATATATACATATATATATATGGCTTTTAATTTTTCCTATCCTTTTCACTGAAGACAAAAATAAATTTAAGGGTGATATTTGGTTTTCAAAAAGAATTCTGTCCTCCTCTTAAGCTGTCAGTGGCGGTCAGAGGAGGCGCTGGTCTGGGGATGCTCACGTTGGGACTTCTGCGTCAACCTCTCTAGTAGCCTGATGTACACAGGTGCTGGAAGAGAGAAGAGTCCATCTGCATGGGACAAGCACGCAGCATTTCACTTCCCCATCTCCTCCCGCCTATGATGAACCTTGCTTGGGGCAAGACAAGTTGCTTGTTCGCTGCTAGTGGGACCACTGCGTGCAGGAGTTGGCCAAGAGCACCCTCACCTCTAATTGAGGCCAATTTGGTCTATGAAATCCCTCAAGACTGATCTCTAAGGCTGAGCAGTGGCTCTGTTTTCAATCTCTTTTTCAGTGAATAACGTAACTCTTCTCAAGCTGGTGGGGAATTTTGCCGGCCTCCTAAAGCCACCGCTGACCCGGAGAAGCAAGGGATGTCCAAGGCAGGGAAGGCAGGCGGGAGAGCTGAAGCTACTTATGGGCACGCCAAGGGGTCTCTTGGAGGGGACCAGGTCAAGGCTGGTCCTGCAGTGCTCCCCTCGCTCCCGCGGCCAGCCCGAAGCACCGGACAGAGGGATGAGCCTCTCTCACTGACACACAATAGCAATTGGAAACAAGCTGGAGAAAGGGACATTTGCCTTACCTAGCCGAGGACTCCTTTGAGGAACCTACAGGGAAAGAAAAACATGAGAAAAAAAGTCAGATTTATTACTTGCTAATTCTTATTCTAACACTCCCTAAAGAGCAGGTCAGATGCGCGACTCTTCAGGACCATATTATGTTATTGCAGGTTGTTATAGATCGTATTGTGCCAAGGCTACAGACACGGTATGTTACAAGCTATAAGCTTCGTGTTACAAAACTTACATATACTTATACATATACATATACTTATACATATACTTATATCCTTATATACTTCTTATATAAGTATATAAGTTCTCTTATATAAGAGAAGAATGCCTTGATTGGTCCATGAAACAAGTACACTCAGTCTCTTTGGAAAAGAAAATCTGAATGTGGCAAGTTACTTTTAAACCAGTAATAATACTAAAATGTAATTTTGGAAGAACTACTTGATGAGAGGGTTTTTTGGTTTGTTTTTTGGTTTTTTTTTTGTCTTTTACCGTGGATAATGCAGATGCCTGTTTGAAGATTTCCAGTGCAGGATCTGCCGGTTCATCTCCTCTTTCCTGAGGCCTTGAAGCTAAGGGCAGAACATAAATAGAAATTGAGCACCAGCCCTGCTTGTACCCCCATTCCACTCCTGCTTTCAATATGTTCTTTTTATACAAGAAGAATTTTGGTTGGCAGCTCTGCACTGGTGCAGAAACCATACAGCTCTAGGTATTTCTAAACATGGACCTACCCTGAGGCTGCAGCACTGAGTTCACGGCATAAATCACACCGTTCGTGGCCATGATATCACTTTCGGCAACAGGTTCCTTGTTGATATGTATTACATGGTTTTTCTGTTAAAGGAATAAGGAAAAAAATGTGGAAAATGAGAGGGTTCTGTCACCTGCAGTTTCCAGTTTTATTGGAAAAACTCACACTTTGCATTCATTCATATATTCAATTGCTGTAGGCACTTTTGTTGCTCTTGCTAATGAAGAATACAAAAATCAAATTATAATTCCAGGAGTTTGTCCTAGAGTTACCAGGGGGCTCTGGAGTCCTTGACCTCTCCCATGCATGGGGCAGGAGATCCCTCTGCCCTCTCAGGGAGGCCAATAGCAGAAGGTTGCAGATCAAGCCACAAGAGAGTCTACCATGCAAGCTGGCCAACTCCAAACAGCCAGAAACAGCAGCCTTCCCATTTTTGCCATCCTGAATTTCTTTTCTACATGTGCAGAGCGGGTCATGAGTTATTCATTTGCTGAAAATATATCATTTTTCACTCCATAGAGGATGCTACGGTCTCTTAATTTAGTGCAAAGTTTTGGAAATAAAATTACACATCTAAATAAATCCTGCTGTGCTAAGGCAGCGCATGCAGAGATCATTGTCATTACACTAAAAAAAGAAAAGTTTTAGCTGAACAGGCTATTCATTTCATTTATTTATGCTTTTTCCCCCATGACTCAGGGTGAAATTTATTACAGCTTCTGGAAATCATTTACAATTAGTCTTTGGGGAAGAAAGCTGAAGCAAACCACATCTCAAGACTGCCAGCTTGTTGACTTGCACACATGGCAGCCTCCCCTCCACTACAGGCTCAGAAAACAGTTCTGTGGGACAACACATGCGTTTAGGATAGGTTCCCATGCCACCCAGATGTCCATGCCATGGTAGACCCCAACGTAGGCAGCCCACCACAAAAGCAGACTCCATACCCGTGTTCGCTGCAAATGCCCATGCAAGGTGACTCACCACGCTGACTTCCAGCTTGTCTCCCTGCATGGACTTGAGTCGCACGAGAGCCCCGACGGCACCGCTCACCAGGATCTCGTCCGCAATGTGGAACTTGAGGATGTTGGCAAGCTCTTTGGCATTACCTGTGAGAAGACAACATTTACATGTGCAAAACAGCATCAGAGGTGGCTTTCCATAGCTCACTCTCTGCAATGGCATTATCTGGAAAAGACAAGAACTTCCTGAGAGTGCAAGAAAAACATGTCAGGTTAAAAGACCAGGTAGAAGCACGTTGGCTGGAGATTGTTGGGACATTGGGGCTAATCTTGCCAGCGCACAGAGGGGCTGGGAAATCCAGATCGCTGAGGATCCTGCAAGTCCAGGACTCTCTCTCAACACTCCTCCTTAGCCTTGCTCTAAACAGAAAATCTCCATCTCTTTTTTTCATTGTCTTCTCTCACTGTGCACTATATGAACATGCTTCTATTGCTGCTTTCGCTTCCCAAAGCAGATTAGGAAAAAAATCTATATTAAGTAAGGAAACCTACAGGATACTCTGGTATTTGCAAGCGTCAGTCAATACTTCTGCCAGCATCAGTATCACTTTACAATACTCTTAATGGATGAAACTCCAAGATATCTCAGTGAGAAGAGGAAAAGGGTAGGATAGATGACCCTGGTGGTTCTCAGATGCTAGTAGTATGGATCAGGCTAGCAGTGAGTGTCTCTCAACTCATCTAGCTATGATTTGAAGTAAGTCCTAGAAAGATGAACCACTTACACTTCATGGTCCATCTTCGCCTTTAGAGGCTGCAGCATCACAGGCAAAAACCACAGACAGATGATGGGGAACAACTAGCATAAAAAAGGCCTAATTCTACCAAACCAGAGGAGCATCCTTAGCAGGATGGACTTCTCATCTCACTGCCTGCATCTGAATAAACTGTGAGTTTCTTTTCCATTTCAGTTTTTATAGGGTGGCCACAGTTCACACTGCCTTCAGCAGCATGATTCACTTCTCCTCCAAAAGCATAAGCTAAATATTTGCATGAAAAAAATAAGAACGTTTGAAGTGCCGGCATCTGGCATACTTCATTCCTGCAGCCGTTTACAATAGCTACAAAACAGTCCTGAAATATTTATACATGAAATCCTAGGCTGAATGTGCAGTCTGCTATTACCAATTGCTTGTCCATGCACTTAAAAGGATAACCAGCCACCATGGGCAGAGGTTTCCCAAATTATGATGTCAATGTTTGGTTGTGCTTTAGTGATGAGAAGACATTACGCTCAAATACCTGACGTTGTTTCCAAACCACAGCCATTTTTCAACATGAAGAAAATAAAAGACCCTGCTGCACATACAAAAGAGTGTTATTAAACATTCCTGTCTTTTTTTTCCCTCATTCAATCTGCTGGCCTGTGCTTTTCAAGTTATTGGTCTTGGTCTTTGTCTATACTAGACTAGAATATTTTGTCATCCGAGGATCCGATTGGATTTCCTGCTTTGCCTGAGTACACATACACAGAACAACAGCTCCATCCTTTTAATGCTTAAATTGCATACGGCTTGAAGCTGAACGTGGACCTGGCTTTCTATTTGCAACATTCATTTTAGACACCCTGGTCCTACGTGGGTGAGAATCCAGGTGGAATAAGGCCAGACACATCCTCACTTTTTTCATCCCTAATGTGCAAGGCAGAAACATCAGCCTCTAGAAACACTCTCAAGTTCTCTTGCTTACAGCACCTGTCAGAGCCAAATAAAAGTCAAAGGGAGTATGCAGCATTCACTATAAATTTGACTTCCAAGCCCAGCAGAAATGGGGTTGAAAAGGGAAACGGAAACCCATGCTTATGCCTTGTAGAAGGAATAACCATCCTACATACATTGTAGGAAAGTTCAGGGCCACCCCAATCTTTCAGATGAAAAAGGAAAAGCCAAAGCCATGTAGGAAGCCTGTGCTTCCTACAGACAGGGCCAAAAAATGAGATACAGAAGACAAATTACCCAAGTCAGTTGCCAAGTATCATGCCAATAACACACAGCAGCTGTTCATCTACATGCTCTGCAAACCACTCACCCATTAGTTTGTTCAGTTCCCCTTGTGGCATGGCTCGGAAAGCTTCGTTTGTTGGAGCAAACACTGTGAAGGTTCCGGGCCTGTTCAAGGTCTCCATTAGCCCTGCAGATTGGATTGCAGCCACCAGAGTACTGCAAGACACACAGGTATTAAAAACTCCAATGGCTTCACCTGTTGAAACTATGTTGGTCTTTGAGCAATTGCATATCGTATTCAAGACAGCTATGAGGTTGCAATTGCAAAATCCTACTGGTATCCAACAAAATAAAAAGTCAATCAGAAATGAACTGAGCTGTGTGAGATCCAAGAACACTGGAGTAACAGCAAAGCAGCCAGGGATGCTGAATGCCTGGGAATAACGAGGCTAGTGAAATGACAGAGGCCTGACCGCAAAGCCTGGCAAAGTCAGCTATGCAGCCAAGGTTTTAGTGTAATAATGTACTCACAAGGTCTTGCTAAGATGATGAAGCAAAACAAAAATATTCACAGTTAGGTCTCAGCCCAGTTCTCACTAAGCTGATTTACTTGAAGTCTCCCTGTCTTTAGGGACGGGACTTGTGGGTGCTCTTTCCATGTTAAGAAATTATGTATAGTTATGGCTATGATCCACAGTAAACCGCTTTGACAGCTCTTCTGCTCCAAACTGGCCATTAGGAAGAGCAGAAAGGTCACCTGAACCGATGATCTGCCTTGAGAACATCCATCACTGAACCAGACGGTGGGGTCAACATTTTGTCCATGCTGAACAAGGTCCCAAACCTGCCTCTCTTGTCATGGGCAGCAATGCAGGCATTTTCAATGCACAGGTTCTGCAAACAAAGTGGCAAACCAAAGACATCCTTAGTGTCTGCTTCGAAAGAGAAATTTTATACTTTTCTCAGTGCTCAATTACACTTTTTACATGCTAGCCATCACATTACAGAGGTCAATCATTGACCAGCAGGCAGAGCATTTACCACAGATAGTAGGGGACAAGAAAATCCAACGTAACCTCTCCTTCCTGCCTGCAGTTAAATGGTTGTTTAGAAAGACCAGTGACATTCTGACTTATTGAGAAACTCCAACTGATTTGGGGAAGCTGAGGCTAGCTCCTCACCTAAACATGGACTCACTGATGAACTAGAGACCCAGTGAAATAGCCCATATCCAGCAACCACCCTTTTACAGCACTGCAAACTGCAGGAACTTACATTGCGGTACACAAATACTCTCAGTTCCTTGTCACCCAGAGTCTGCAGTTTCTGCCCATGGTAAAGATATTTAGAGGAAAGCTGGTCTCTAACAATGTGGTTCAGAAGCAAATTTTTCATGTAGCTGTCAACGGGGGGATTTCCATCTGCAGCAAGAAATACGGAAGTAGACAGTGATTCACTTAAAATAATCCCTGAGATGTCAAAAAGGCCCAAATACAGAATATTGTCTACATCAGCTCTAATTTTAAAACTACGTGCCACTGTCTATAACATTTGAAGGAGAGTTTGCCTGCACGTGCAGCGCGACTCTGTCTAAGCAAGTTTCTCAAAAGCAGATCTGTGGTACACACTGGTAGAAGAAAGGGACCTACTCCTAGGTTTACCTTTGAATGCATCATTTACTGGGGCAAGAAGCGTCACACGCTCATTGCCAGTCAGATGAGAACTGAGACCAGCTTGTCTGAAAAGGTCCATAGACTTGGAAACTTCAGATTCTTGGGCCAACTCAAACAGGGTCTTAGCTGAAAAGAAAAGCAATACCTAGTAAACTTATGTTAAAGGCAATTCACCCAAAGTCAAAAGAAAGAAAGATGCAGAGAGGCACCAGTACCAGAGTCTGGAATCAGAAGCTCATTGACAAAGTGAACAACACCATTGGTGGCCAGGATATCCTTGTTAGCTATAATGGGCTTCCCGTTGAGGGTCAGGTCCTCCCCACTGCAGCCTACATCCAAGGTGGTTCCTTCCAGGGTCTCCATCGTCAAGCCAGCAATGATGGCCTCGGCGCACATGGCTGATTTCAGTATGTGGTGGTTCAAAAGGTCTGTAAGAGAAATAGGTGCCTAAGTGAGAAGGAAAAATCAGCCATGGAAATGTCATTGCGTGGATTATTGTAGCTTCTACAGGGTCCGTTCAAAGGCAAAGCCATCTCGTATGGAACTTAATTCCAAAAAATGCACAGTAATTCAAAACAGGCCTTTTGCGCTGTAGGCTGTGAAGTCAGATGCCTAGAAAGTACAGTTTTTATAGACTTTTGTCTAATTAGGAAGTGTTTCATATAATTGTTTGACCCATTTTACGGGGGAAGGTACGCTGATTAGATGCTACTTCTCTTTCACCTTGAAAAATCAGCTGAAGCCACCATCATCTATAGTAATATATACTATAGCATATATAGTATAGATCAGCCGCCTCATGAATCTTCTACATCTTTTCCCATTCAAATTGCAGTCTTGAAAAGAGACCGACTAGGAGGCAATTTCCTCCACTCCCATAGAAAATCCTGCCCAAGTCCCCCCAGGAATATACTGGATGACGTAAAAAAAGCTGTTTCAGCAGCCTCTTCCCCATCTGGATAACACACACTTCACCACATCTATCATGTCCAGCTCTAAAGAAGTCTATGCTGTCCACTGGAAAAGCTGAGGGCTCTCATATGGGTTTATTCTAGCTATTAGCAGAGCGTTTCTGGGATCAGATCGCATCTATTTGGAAAGGCATTGAGAGGAATGGCAAAATCCTCTTCCATCTCCCAACATGGTCAATAAACAAGTCCTTACCCTTGAGGGCCTCTGGATCTCCCAGGATTCGGTTTAGGGTCTCCTGTGGGATCTTCTCAAAGGCTTCATTGGTTGGAGCCAAGAGCGTGTACTGGCCTTCACTTTCCAGCAAGCTGTTCAGGTTGGAAGCAGCCACTGCAGCCTGTAGAGGAGTGAGGAAAGAGGGTCAAACATATTCAACAAGAAAATAATGGTCATCAACTCCACCCAGTCACTAAGGGCCAGGTTTATTAAGGTATTTATTATTTCAAAACACTTAAAATGAAGCCCTAAATAGCCTCTTTCAGCACTTTGGTACTTTTACAAATTTTATCCTGCGCCTTGGTTCTCTCTTGCACTTCAATAATTTGAGCGTGAGATGGACAGAGTCTTTTCTGGATACTTTCAGATTTAGTTCTAATATGCTAAAATGCCTGGAAAGGTTTGCAGTAATTCCAGAGAATAACTCAGATCACAACCCAAAGCTGGCTAACTGCAAAAGCCCTGTGCTTTTTTTTTCCAATTATTCCTTAGCTTGGCAAATAGCAAGTCAAATAAATTGGTATTCATTAAATGTGAACAGTTAATATCACTTAAGGCAAAGATGAGGAATCAGACAAAGAGAGAGGAACCAGACTCAGGCTATTTCCTTTTACAGACAGCAACAGCAGGGTGGCACTTACACTGATATCAAGCTTTTCTCTACCTAAAGCAAAATAAGCTACATTGAAACAAGGACTTTATCAGCAGCTTTAGAGTCACAGCAGTTAGGTGCTGGTAAGCTCTTCACTGCAATTCTCTGTGGGGGAATATCCTTAAGGTCCCCTGGCACACGCTTGGGATGGACTCACCCGGAGGGTTTCCAGGCTTTCCTCAGTTTCGATGATCTGCTGAATGCTGTTTGTGGTGGTGGCAATGACTTTGTCAATGACATGGACCACGCCGTTGGTGGCATGGTGGTCAGCTTTCAAGAGCCTGGCGCAGTTCACCGTCACAATCTGCAAGGGGAAAGAGCCACAGGGTGTTATGTGCACTAAAACAGGAAGGTAAAGTCGCTTCTGCTGTTTTTCTATTCCAAACACAGTGAGTGTTGTAATACTGAATCAGCAGGAGCAGAAATGTGGTTTCCTAGAAAAACAAATGAAGAATGAGAATGTTCTATCAAAAAAACACAGTTGAAACATTTTGTATTTAAAGAGCTTTGAAAGTAATCAGCGGTTTTGTCTAGTATGCATCGGCAAGGGTAAGAAAATATGTCACATTAAACAGTTATGCAAGTTACCATATACCAGAATGTGCAACTTTCCTGCAATATTGTCTATGAAACTATCTGCTTATAAGTATTTTATCAAAGGTCCATCCCAAAATGTTCCCTTAATCAATAGCCTAAGCATCTTCAACCTAAATGTTACTGAGCCCTTGAGGTCCTATGACCGTGTTGGAGGTGCAAGGTATCAGAAGAACAAGCCTTAAATTCACCATACAACATTTCATGACGTTTAGGCACCTTCTAGGGGGCCACAGGCCTCAATGATTCCCGGTAACACTTTGTCGTTGTGCGTCATCTGGTATTTATGCATAGTCTTACCATGAAGACAGCTTTAGTCTCTGGGGGATGACTAAATGCAGACACATTTCTCAACACACCATGCAGTGCTTTGGGTGAGGAGAAGAGGGGTCCTGAATGTGGTTTGGATGAAGGCAATAGCTTCAGAGTGCCCTCAACACCTAGTGCTGGCCGTGTAGTCAAAGTTTCTTCACTAGAAATTTTATACCTCACTTCTTTTATCCTTAGAAAAGAAAACCCAGCTCATGTAGTTAATATAGGTTCATTCGCAGCTCCACCTAAGTAATGATGATATTTTCAAAGAGTTGTCTTACCCCATTGGGATAATGGTGAATCTGGATAGGGAGGTTCTGGTACATTGAGTTAAGCGTTGTCCCATGTTTCAGCTCGTCTGTTAGCACCCGTTTGTTCACCATATGGTAGCGGAGGGCGTTGAGCAGCTCAATGTTAACATTACTGACTAAGGAATCCAAAGTTTCCTGTAAATAAGCAAAATGAACCTCAGGGCCGAGAACAACAAAGTCCATGAGAGCATCCCCGCACCAGGAGGCCTGACTATATCCAAGAATCATCTGATGAGACTTTCTTTCTTTCGTGCATGTTTGTGTGTAGTTCTCCTGCTTGCATTAGACCTTATCTTTTGCCTTCCTACAATAGCTAGCAGCTCTGGCATCCCTGTCCTGGGCAGGCAGATGGACAATGTCTAGAGTGGCAGTAAGGCAACCAAAGACACTATGCAGAGCCATATAAAATATATCTATAAGTAATGAAGCAGACAAATGCACTGATGCAGGAAGGCTGTGAATTTACAACTAGGGCTGAATATTTGTGCAAATATTAACAATAGAGTGGCATAGTAGACATCAACAGTAAAACTGATGGAAGAGATGTTAAGTCTCTTGTTGCAGATTTCATGATGATCTCCAGCAGTAAGAGATAGGGAAAATTGAATGAGGTGACTGTTATATTCACCCCCTAGAGAATATCTACACCTTCACCTAGTGCTGGTTTCTTGCAGAAACAAAGCTTGGAGCTGATGGACCAGTACAGTGCTTCCTGTTTTGGAATAGCCTTCCTATATCAGGGCAGTATTTATATTTGTCTTCAGCCCCTGGGGCTGAATATCCACTACTGAAGGAAGAGGGGGAAAAAAAGAGGAACCAAATCTTACAGCAGACAAGGATGCCCAGGCCTCGTTACTTGGAGCAAAAATTGTAAAACTTCCAGGTCCTTCAATTTCTGGTCTTAGATTAGACCGGTCAGAGTAGAGCTGCGTGGTTGCAGATCCGACAACACCAAGGGTTTCATAGATGTTTGAAAGCGGCAACGCTGAAAGAAGGGAAGATTACGTTTCTAGCACAACATCACTCATCCTTCACTGTATGTTGCTGAATTCAGAGAGAGCTACTGGCAAAATGCTTCTGGGAATGGAGCATGTCCGTGAATTCATATCTGTTCATTAATTAGATCACGAATAATCTTGGGTGTCAGCTCAAATCTCAATTACAACTGTGTTACCCAGGACCCACTGCGTCTCTGCAAGCTTAAATAGAGACGTGCATGCAAACTGGAGGAAAAATCATACCCTAGCATTGTATCAGGCCTGAGAGATGAAAGAGGCAGGCAAAGACAACCTTTGCTGTCACCAGATCCATCAAGGATCTCTTCCCTGGTTGGTCATACCTAGGGCCAGGCAGTCAGACCATGGCACCAGAGTGACTCGAGAGCAGGTGATAAGGGTGGGATGTCAACCCAGTTTGTATGCAGTGGGTCATCTTTGTCGCTCTCCTGCAAGAGGTACCTGGCCCCAAAGGATGTCCCAGTCGCACCACGGCCAAGCTCTTCCCACCCATCATTAACGAGGCAGCCATGAGCTCACTGGGGCAGGACGTGTAAAGAAAGCAAAACCAGAACACGTCTGTCTTCGACAGACCCAGGCAATTCCCTTTCCCCACCAGAGACCAAACTGTATTTTCTATTAAATGCAATTTTGCTAAACTCAAGCTTGCCAAAATAGAAATGAAAAGAGACTGGCAGAACTGTCTGCAACTGTATCATTACTTTGTATTGTATTTCCAATAGAGCTATATTGCTTGTTGGAATAAGTAATTCCCTGTGGCTCTCCCATGCTTCATTCAGTTTAATTATATCCAGGGTTTTAAATTATCTGGAGCGTTTTGCATGCTTTGGAGCTGCTCTGGCACTCAGATGGTGCTCTGCTGCGCCTTTGCAACTTGTTCAGGGCAATATCATACATAAATTGCAAAAAAATCAAGTCTGCTTTGAATAATTTTCTAGCATTTCTTTTCACTAGGCAGCTGTATAATTTTAAAAAGTATAAATAAATGTCAAACATATTTTTACCAGCTGGGCAGCCTTTTTCTCCAGGAACTTTTTCATATCCAGGACAGCACTCGTAACTGATTACTCTGGAATAAGAAATGGATACAGCAGATTAACCAATGCCACTTTAATTTCCCCTCCTCTCTATCAGCTACACTCTTCTCTGTGTTCATCCATATTTGGTGCTGTTTCTCAAGCAGACCTTTCACTAGATATATAGACTTGAATAGAGCACAAACCACAATTTTTATCTCCTTCAGGACTGCACGGTGCCAATTTCTCTCCAGAACAAAATCAGACAGAAGTTATTTTCAAAACCCACACTTTCCCCAGTGACTTCACTCAATCCCTATTCAAACAGTGAACGGAAAACACTATTTTAAGGGATGCTGCAATGCTTTACACTTAAGGTGGCAATGAGACATAGGCTCAGGATCTACACTGCGTACAGAGAAGTAAAGAAGAGAGACCTAGGGTGTCTGTATGTATTTCCATATAACTCATATATCTGACATAAGCCTGGGTACCATGCAAGCATCCTCATTTCAGTGCACAGCTTCTTCCAGCTGGCAACAAGCATCACAATTTTTAAGTACTGTCCCTGCAGGGCAAAGCAAAGAGGGGGTCACAGACTCCCTCCTGGTCTGCAGATTTGCCTGAGTAAGCAGGAGCTGCCTGGAGCCTGCGGTCATGGTCTGCAATTCAATGGAAAAGAGAGAGTCATCTGATTCTTAAGCTGGCTGTTTAAGGGAATATGTCGCAGTATTAAAATAAATAAATAAATAAAAACACAGAAGTTAAGTTATCCTTTTACTTTTCATAGGGCTTCCTTCCCCCTGTTGACAGCCCTTCCTCGTGGGGACAAGCTTTTCCCCGGGGCTCCCAGCCAGGCTGGGTACCAGCCTGATGCAAGGGCCCCAGCTTGGGCTCTTTTGTCATCGTTTGAACCCCCTTAACAACCAAGGGAAGGGCCTGGGGGTTGGGAGGGAATTCCTGGGGGTAATTAAGAGCCTGTAAGTGAAACAAATACCTGCGTTTCTCTGACAGAGGCAAATAAATTTGGTGTCACGGTTTCCTAAGAGCGCTGCAAAGCAAACCCAGACTGATTGTCTAGACAAAATATATGCCATGGGGGAAAGAGAGCCTAAAGCAATCCCTTCCTTTGACTACCGGAGATCCGCTTTTCACAGTTCCCCTCTCGTGTTCATTAGAAACACACACTACCCACCCCCGCCCGGCTCCGATTTCTCTTTTTTTCACCCCAGAAACTTAATCCAGTCTAGACAGTTCCCCTGGTTCACAACTGCAATCAAAGCCGAAGAGCCGATTTAAGAGAAATCCTTCCAAAGCTCAGCATAAATAATTCCCCGGTGCTGACGCCGACTTTTAAAGGCTGATTTGCAGCTTGACGGGAGATGAAGGAGCCTCCAGCAGGCAAGCAGTCCCCTGGCCATCTCTGCCATCCCACCAAGGGATGCTCGTGGCCAGGTCACCAAGGATCTGGGGCTAGCACCAGCTCAAGCACCCCCAGTCAGTGCCTTGCCACCCTTCCCTCCTCCAGCATCACCTCCCTTTCTCCCAACCTGACCCACGGCACCTCAGCTGGGACTTTTTCCCCTTTTTTAAGCCGTCTGAGCACCCACAAGCTTCTGCAAAGGGAAATATGGAGGTGCCCGGCTAAGTGCAGCACCAGAGACAAGAAACTGGGGAGCAAAAGAATCCATCTTTGACATCAGCCCCTTGGAGCTCCCATGGCTGCTCATTCCCTAGCCACGTTTCAGTGCTCAGGTGCCCCATGGGAAGCAAGGGAACACCCTGTGGGTGCTGAGACATGTTTGGAAGCCAGCCCCTGCAGCCCACCAAGGCTGGGTGACTTCCTTCACCCTGAGTTCTGGTGGCTGCAAGCTTGGTGCCACGCTGGGGACTCCAAGAGCATCTTCATCTACCACTCAGGGCATCACAAGCTCTTCTTGATGGACCCAGGACCAAGGCAAGAGCCTGCCCAGCTCATCACACAGGGGCAAGGCAGGAGAACGTTCCCAGCCTCCCACCACGCTTCTCGCCATGCGCGGGAGGAGTTTCTGGTGTCCCGTCAGCAGTCACACGTCTCTGCATCCCCACGCGGCCGCTGCCAGTTCCACGGGTTGAATAAGCAATGCACAAAGGGCGTTTGTCACCCGCTCCACATCACTTCCAGCCACTGCTTCCCAAGCAAGTTGTTGAGGAATCAGGAGTCAACTCTGAACAGCAACTGCGGCCAAGGCCTCCAAACGCCGCGGTGCACTAGATCCCAAAAGTGAGCGACCTTGGTTTATTCACCGCCGTTTCAGCGGAGCATTCTGAGGCTCTGAAATTAAATTTTAAGTGCGTTTTTTCTTCAAGGCAATAAAAATAAGCTTAGGCCTATATAAGTGAATAAAGATCCATTTGTAATAATTTCCTGTAATAAAGCCCATATGTTTTGTTTTTGAAGAAAGAGCACCAGATGCTCATTCTTTGCCTGAACTGGCAAAAGTACGTTGGATAAAAAAAAAAAAAAAAAAAAGGAATGTTAATTTAAAAGGAATGGGGGGGAAAAAGTACTAAGGGGCAGCTTACTGCTACTAGTTATTCCTAAAAAAAAGCACACTAAGAATTTATATAAATTGTCTTCTTGTTCTCAAGACAAAAGAATGTGTGGAGGAGGGGCCCTGAATTGCAACCCAAATTCTAGAAGAATGAGTTTAGTGCATTAGAGAGTTTTAAAAAAATATTTTTCTAAAAACAGAAGGCAACGATGAGAATATATGCTAAATAATTTATTTCTTTGGCCCCGGAATAACCAACAGTGGAAAATTACCTAATTATCAAAACAATCTTGTTTCAGTGCTTATTAAAACCAAAGCAGTGTCAGACTCCTTGCCAACTACCTTATCTCACTTCATCATTAAGCAACGCAATGATAAAATACACATAAATCCTCCATCTAATTTCTTCCTAACCACGTGAGCCAAACCTTTAGCAAAAAGAACAGCAAAGGAAAAAAGCAGATGAGTCAAGAGTTCCCCTGTGACAAATGAGTTTCTACCGTGCTGCAGATCCCCAGTGTTCACTGCACCCATCAGAGCCACCCTGAGGGAAGTCCCCTATGAACCCAACTGTCACCCTCAACTGATACATCAAGCCAAGACCAGAGACCAGACACATCCACATTTTCCATGCTGGCTTCCCTTGCTGTTCCATGTCCCCAGACGCTGGATGTGATCATCCTTGAAGGGGTGAAGTCCTTACTGACTGCTACAGGCTTGAGGCAACTTTGCCTCCCTCGGAGCAGCTTTTGAGTTTTCTAAGACAACTTTGGGGTTCAACACTGCTCCTCTACAATATCTGGCCTCTTGCTGACAGATCTCCCTCCTACCTATGAGAAACACTGCTCGTAGCAGGGAAAGAAGTCAAAGCAACTAAAACTATCTTTCTAGAGCCTGGTATTTCCCCATGACACATTTCCAACTTGCAGCAGTGTTGATTCTTTAAGCAAATATGAATGATCATGGAAAGGTCAGACGCAGAATAAGTAGATGAGAAATGAGCCATGTGGCTCCCATTCCAGGACTGCCATCATCACGGACCTTGCTTTCTAGGAACATGATTATCTACACAGCCACCAGCCTTGGGTGGGATGGAGCTTCCCCATGCTCTCCTGCTCTCAAAACTTCTCATTGAGCAGCTCAGCCCCACAAAAAGGGCCAGTTTCAGGGCACATGTTCTGCAGCGTTAGCTGAGCTCGTGTCCTCTCCCAGGAGCTGAGAGGCTCTGTGATACTCATTTTTTTTAGGCCTCCGATTGCCGCAGCATAACACACTGTGCCCTTTGCAGCCCGCAAGACTCCTGATTGCTTCCATACGCCAGGAATACCACATCCAATGGGAGCCCTCACCAGCAAGTGTTTGTAATCAGAGCTGTCCCAGGGACCTCCGGAAAAATCAGAGTCCAGGCACATGTCTCTGGTTGTACATAGGCACCGCTACGGGTCAGGGTAAGGCCTGGCTCAAAAATAGCTAGGAGGAGAGCAAGACAGTAAAACTCATTGTCTAGAGGACGCAAAGTGAAGACTATTTAGCAAATCTTGGTATAATGGGGCCATTATCTCCTAGGTTCATGCAGGTTAATGCTGTGTCTGCTTTGCTCTCAGCAATGCATTGCTGGATTAGATATTTGGGTGAAACCACAGAAAAATGAGGTTAAGGGAGATCGCTGCATCTCCTCAAATGAAATTTTGAAATGCTGGTAGGTGCCAGCTGCTCTACCTCTTCCTGAGACACACAGCAGAGTTTGTCTCTGCCAGATACAGCTGCTCACTTGGGTTACTTGAGGCTTAGTTTCTGATTTATGACAGGGCTAAAGAAATTTGCAGCTGGACCTCCTCATCTTTGAGCGATTTTAAAAGCAACGCTGTCCCATAACCAAAGCTGAGTGAGGCTTTGCTTGGAGATCCACAACACCACTCAGTTACCATAATGATCTTCTACAGAACAAGTGATGATGATACCATATTGCCATGCCACAATCTGAGCCATTTTACATCAAGGACATTTTAAAAAGGCCAGCATTCAGCTAAGGTGACAATCTTAACTCCACACTGCTAAATTAAGTCTTCCCCGATTTAGTCATTTGTAGATTTAGGTGTGCATGTGGGGGAGCTGGATTAGCTTTTTTGAAACATTGCCGCTTCTTTTCTTTTTTATAAAGACAGTTGGACATAAAGGAAACCACTACACATGCTCAGTATTTGTATATGCTGCAATACTACCTCCTAGAAGTTTTCCTATTTTAGATTAATCCACGGGAAATGTGATAAAAGGCCAAAAAATGCCCACAGGGGCAACTGCTGTTTTGCATCCTCCTCATAATACCGGCAACGGACACTCAAAACGAAACCTGATAGCCAGGAAACTCAATTGAGCCGATCCAAGCAACTAAAATAAATCCAAAAGATATATCTTAGCACAGTCAAAGATCTCTAAGTATGCTGTTTGGTAGAGAGGCAGCATTTACTTAATCTGCAGAACATAATTATATGTTGCATTAGATCAAATTACGACTTGCATAGGACCACACCAGGAACATACTGGCCCACTTGGCATGGGCCAGCGAATGCATCTGGAAGCCCCATTTGGCCCACACCAAGGAGAAGGGATTTCCCCACTCCTGATCTAGCCAAATATGCCCATCCTTAATTATCTGCTGACTACTTCCTTCAAAAGGATGTCCCGAGACTGGTTACTGTGCAGCAGCTACTTGCATGCAGTTATTTGCAATTTTAGATTTTGAATTGGCCTACAGGACTAATTGACTTTCTTGATGAAACTGAAGAGCACTGGCTAAAGCTGACACCTCTCTCTCTCTCCATTCCTGTTTTCCCTTCCAAAGAAAACTTATGTAGATGAATTTTATGTTCTTTCCAATATCCATCAACTCTGTGTTGCAAGGCTGTTCAGCATTAGGTCTAGGATTTACAGAGACACAGCTAAGAACTAGAAAACATCTCGTACACACTTCATTACAGCACTGAGAGCTATACAAGTATATATAGAAATGCAATTAGGCTAACTCATCAGGATTCGAGTTTATAGAGCACTTTCTAAGTGCTTCAAGATCACGCTTTGGCATTTGAGAAAAGCCAAGGACCCGCTGCACCGCCCTGGCGAGCACTCACGTGGATTTGCCGCAGATTTTGCGCTGGTACCACTGCTTGCAGTTGGTGAAATATTTCCGGTTGGTCCCAATGAGCTTCTGCACGGCGCACACGTTGGGGCTGGAGTGGGCGACAAAGCAGAACAGGAGCCCGTGAGTCTCCCCTCTCTCTATCCTGTCCCAGAGCCTGGGATAGCCCCACCTGAAAATGCCTTAAAAGCCCCCACATGTTTCACTTATCCCCAAAATAAAAAGAAATCAAGTTGAAAACATCATTTTCTCCAGTATTTCTATGGTGAGCAGCTACTTATAATTTGGCATTAACTGGGATCCCAAATAAAGCCGTCCAGAGCTATGCAATATTGCAAACACTTCCCAACAAAAACAGCATTTTATTGTTTAGGACATTTATCGGGCTTTGGACCAACTTACACTGCAAAAGAATTAGCGACACAGGCCAAGTAACAGATTCATTTTCTTCTGGACATGAATACTGAGTTATTGATGGTTAAAAATGAGCAAGCAATTCAGTACACTGGATTCAATGTACACTTTATGATAGCATACATTAACAGTAGCTATGTCAGTTCCTAAGGTCTCAAGAGCTCTGCTCAACCAGAAAAATTACACACTTGAAGTTGCACATGTGACTAATCCCACTGAAATCCGACTGCAGCCTCCAGGCTTTCTAAGAAGCACAGTCATCGAGCGTAAAGATGTGGTCAAACAGGAGCTCACTCGCTCCCAGTCTGGCCAGCACGGTGTTTCCCGCTCACCCTGGCTGGCTGCACCCTTTTCCCATGGATATGGACAAGATAAAGTCATTGCACGAGATGCAATTTGTACGTGGGGGCTGCGAGGCCACCGACTGCCCCTGGGTTTTGAGCCAGAGGTGGAGCAAGCACCCAGCCAGGCTGGGGATCCTCAGCCCAGCTGCAGTTGGGGTGCAAAATTTGGCCTTAAATCACTCGGAAATCCCCAACCCATAGCCAGTGTGAGCTTAGCCACACTCAGGGATGTCCACCTGGACTGCACCAGCCCTGCAGCACCTACATGTGGCTCCAGTGACATCCAAAGCCCACAACTCGCCTCAATTTCAGCAGCTGGTTCAGGACCCTTCCCTTCACTCATCTTGACAGCCCTGGCTTCCAAAGGCCCAGGAGCTGAGCACTTTGGGGCTGTTACTTGTTTAGCTGGCAAATGTTTCCCATTTTTTTCCCAGTGCCCCGAAGAGCAGACGCGGCCGCACACCCTTCGTGTGCTCCCTGCAGAAAGCCAACACTGCACCGATCCTGCTGCAGCGGTTTGGCTGTTCCTGCATTGCTGCATCCAATGGACACACTGTTAATCAATGCTCATAACTTAGCTGATGCTCAAAAACTAGTTTGTTAAGTAGCACTTCTGCCACCAGGAAAGAGCCAAATCCTGCTATAAACTATGCTAGCTCAGGACAACGGACCAAATGTCCACCTGAGGCTATGGACAGAGCTGGGTCTTTGCTCAGCTCTAGGTTATGCAAAGCTGAAATGGAACATCATATTTGTGTGTAAATCACCATCATTCTTTTATCACTGACAGTTTACAAACAGAAATCAGCTCCGATTCTGTCTAATGGACTTTGCACCCGGTCACAGAGGCAATTGGTGCCCCCCATTACAAACACTGCCCTGGCTCCCTGCCGGGCACTCCATCAAACAGCAATATTCCAGTCACTTCTTTTTCTTTTCTTAAGAAAAAAAAAGCAACTCATGCCCCTGCCTTCAGCAGCCCTTTTAAAAGGAAGCAGCAGTTCAATCAATGTCACTGTCATGAAAGACAAAAACCACCTGAAATGTCTGTCCATCCCTTTCACCTCACCTAATTCCCAATAAACTGTTTAAAAACAGTGGCAACAACTACTAACACCTGGTTATTTTTTTTTTCAAATCAAGCCACCAGGATCCACAATGGCTTGCCACCCTGGCAGGAGATGTCGACACACATTGGAGGATATCTCTTATCTCAGAAGGCTTAAGATTAGCCAAGCCATTCCTTTGAACAAGAACATTTCCGAGATGTCCTGAGGGATCCTGTCAAACAGCAAGTCAGTCCTTACTCCCTAGAGATACCCATCCACCATTAAAACTGTTTTCTTCCTTTTTTTTTTCTCCTGTAATCCTTGAAAACAGATTTCCTTCCACACCAAGCTTAAAATTTTAAAGTCTTTCTTAACAACAACTTAAGCCTTTTTTTTTTCCTAAATGAAGAGAGACTAATTAAAAAAAAAAAAAACATTCAGCAGTCCCAGATGATCTCTGAACTTTTAAGCACCTTAAGGAAGTTAGTTAGTTAGTTGCCAGGGGATGAAACTCAGCTGGTTGTGGAGAGCAGGGACGCGCGGGACCCCCAGCCCTTTCCCAGCCCTGGTGAAAGGCTCGACTGGGGTGAGGAGATGGAGAAGCACCACGAAAGCTCAAAAGTAGGGTGAAAGCTTCCCCCAGGGCCCCCAATTCTGTTTTTTTTTTTTAATTATTATTATTTTTTGCTGTTTTGCCTTTTTTTTTT